GAGCATCTTGTGTCCTGGAATCTCTATTAATGTGTAGTGATCCATTTTGTACCCACCAGTTTCTGGGGGCTTCCAGGTTGAGCATCATGACTTGCTGAGCTAATGGCACTTACAGGCTATCTCTGGCACATCTTTAGTCTGTTCTGAAGGGGAAAATATATTGTCTTGAAATTTGCTGCTCTGCAAGCAAATCAGAACAGCTTTACATTAAATGAATTTCCAGAATCTTGTAATTCTGTTTGAAGATACAGTTCAAGTATCTTTGAGTTTTTAATCAAGTCTATCTATCTATTTTTAGTGGTTGGGGAGATGTCAAAATGACACACACTTAGAAGAGAAGATAGATTTTGGTGGTCTTTTCCAGGTTTTGGCTTACTACAGAAAATTTTTGACTGACAGTTGTTGAGTGTAAAGTTCTGACATTTTCTTTGAACGTTAATGACTTGATGGTTAACACTTTGATACCTGGGAGTGATGACCTTATGACAATTATAGCATCGCTAATTCTTAGATGTTAGTGACAACATCTGTTGTCACAACAAGCGATTGAAAACCCCACTGCTGGTAATTAAGCAGCTGGAAGTGCACCTTGGTTGTTCGATTTGAAACTGAATTTGATGTTATTTAAGGCTATTTACACATTGCTCTGTCTGTGTGTTAATCATTCAAGACTCTGGCTTTCCACCCTTTATTGCCATTGGCTTGATTTCCCATCACGAACCAACTGGTGATAGTGTCAGTTTATCAGGGTGGGTCTTCAGGGCTTCAAGTACTGGCCAGAAAATGATATATAATATCATATCAAGCAAAAAGATTACACTGGATGCTTTATGATACTGATTTTCCAATTATGTGAATCAAAGATACAGGCCCGATTGCCTTGTCAGCAAGTCATAAATCAAATGACTTGGACCCCTTAGTGCTTGGGAAACTGGTTTTATGATGTGGGAGGGGATTTGGAGGTGTCCAAGTTCTATTTTACCTCAGTGAGAGCCAAGGGAACCCCTTTGTTTGCAGAGCAGCAAGGTCAAGATGATGTTTTCTCCTTTAGCCTCTTAAGATGTTTTGGCAGCCTCAGATTGTGTGTACTCACAAAACCTTTATTATACACCTACTATGTAATATGATAAGCATTTGGAATACAAGGATGAAAGTGAAATAAGCCTTACCTTCACGGAGTTTACATTCTAATGTAGCATAAACCCCTGTCTCTGAGCATACGAGGGTAAAGGGTCCAGGTTTACCATTAGTAAAATCAAAATTTTAGAACTTAAAGGACTCTTAAAGATCATTCAGTCTTTATAAATGAAGACTATCAGAAAAGTTAAATGACTTGTCCAAGGTCACCCTGCAAATTAATGGAGCTAAGACTAGCATTGGAGACTCCTGACTCACAGCCAGTAGTCTTTTCTCTATGCCCTGCTACTTTTCAAGACTGACACACTTGTGGGGGGTCATTAAACTCTCTCACTGTCCTCCAAGGGAAGAGAAATAGATTGGCATAAACCCCATGATATGAATCTCTTATAAAACAGATCTGGGGCTATAGAAGAGGTGTTTCTGGCTATTAGGGACCAAATGCTTGGGTAATGAGTTGATGATGAGTTAGACTATAAGACCTGAATCAACAAGTTTCAATGTTATTCTTCTGTTATTCCTTCCATTATATTTCATCAATTCATTTAGCAAGCATTTGAACACCTGTTGTGTGCTAGGCACTGTCTCTATCCTATACGAAAATGTTTATTGGCTACTGACTTCTGTCTAGCTCCCTTGATATTCAAGGCCCACTGTAATCTGACCATAATCCTACCTAAAATCCAGAAGTACCTTGGAAGAGTTTACCTGTGCAGTGGATAGAGCTTTGGCCTTGGAGTCAGCAGGACCTGAGTTCAAATCTGGTCTCAGACATACACAACACACTACACTTACTAGCTGTGTGGCCCTGGGCAAGTCACTTAACCCTGATTGCCTAGCAAAAAGTACAAAAAAAAAAAAAAGAGTTTACCTGACCTCAGTAAGTCACAGTCTGTAGGATTTTCCTAATAAGGTGGAAGAAGTGGAGCCAGATCAGCAGATACTGGTGTTTCTTATTCAAGAATGAGACTGAGGTTTAATTTGTTTTATTTTTATTTTTTAAAATTAATTAATTTTGCTTTATCAACAATCACTTCCATATGCTTTTGAGTTTAAAATTTTTCTCCCCCTCCCATCCCACTACTCTCCTCAAGATAGCACACAATCTGATATAGGCTATCCATTTACATTCCTATTAAACATATTTTCACATTAGTGATGTTGTAAGGAAGAATTAGAACCAATACGAGGAACCACTAGAAAGAGGAAACAAAACTCAACAGAGGAAAAAAATATAGCAAACAGTATGCTTCGATCTGCATGCAAACTCCATAGTTCTTTCTTTGGATGTGGAAAGCATTTTTCATCATGAGGCCTTTGGAGATGTCTTAGATCCTTGTATTACTGGGAAGGGTTAAGTTTATCAATATTAGTCATCATACAACGTGGCTGTTACTATGTACAACGTTCCCCTGGTTCTGCTCACTTTACTCAGCATCAGACCATACAAGTCTTTCCAGATTTTTCGGAAGTCTGCCTGCTCATCATTTCTTATAGCACAATAGTATTCCATTACATTCATATACCACAACTTGCTCAGCCATTCACCAGTTGATGGGCATCCTCTCAATTTCCAATTCTTTGCCACCACAAAAAGAGCTGCTGTGAATATTTTTGTACGTGTGGGTCCTTTTCCCATTTGTATGATCTCTTTGGGATATAGCCCTAGAAGTGCTATTGCTGTGTCAAAGGGTATGCACATTTTTATAGCCCTTTGGGCATAGTTCCAAATTGCTCTCCAAAATGGTTGGATCATTTCACAACTCCACCAACTATGCATTAGTGTTCCAATTTTCCCACATCTTCTCCAACATTTATCATTTTCTTGTTTTGTCATCTTGGCCAATCTGATAGGTGTGATGTGGTACCTCAGAATTGTTTTGATTTGTATTTCTCTAATCAGTAGTGATTTAGAGCTTTTTTTCATATGACTATAGATGGCTTTAATTTCTTCATCTGAGAACTGCCTGTTCATATCCTTTGACTATATATCAGTTGGGGAATGACTTGTATTCTTATAAATTTGACTTAATTATCTATATATTTTACAAATGAAGCCCTTATCAGAGAGACTGGTTGTAAAAATTCCCAATTTTCTACCTTCCTTCTAATCTTGGTTACATTGGCTTTGTTTGTGCAAAAGCTTTTCAATTTAATGTAATCAAAGCTATCCATTTTGCTTTTCATAATGTTCTCTATCTCCTGTTTAGTCATGAATCTCAGAAGTCTCGTAAGTTAGACAGGCCTACATGTAGGTGGATATGACAGAGATGACGCTGGCTAAGCTGGGAAATGGCTGCACTGAGAAGGGTTTTGACAGGAAGACAAAAAAGGATGACTTGAGGCACAGAAAGCAGTAAAGGACTTTGCTTCTTCAGAGACTTAAAGCAAACCAAAAGCTACAGCTTGGCCTCAAGTTAGAACGTTGAAATGGCATAGGTAGAAAGAACCATAACCCCAGTGAAAGGTCCTGGGGTCTAAGAAGGAGAGGGAGGACAGAGATCACCATGACTGGGAATTATTTTCTAAATCAGGATCAAGCAAACTGAATAATGTGAAACTGGCAATGATCTACCCCTAACTGTATGTCAATTCCATTCTGTAGTTTTCCTCACACTGTATGTAAGTTTTGTTGTACATTTGAACTGACTGTGTTGGACTGCAGGTGACAAGATTAGAGAAAGGGGTGTCCATTGTCAGAAAAGGTAACAGAGTGTCAAAGCCCAGGACTGGGGGAAGGAAGGAAGGAAGGAAGGAAGGAAGGAAGGAAGAAACGAAGGAAGGAATCGTTTCTACCATATGTCAGACACTCTGCTAAGCACTTTACAAACATTATCTCATTTGATGCTCACAACAACATTTCTAAGGTATATTGTTATTCCCATTTGGGTAAGCTAAAACCCTTTCCAATGAGATCATGGTGAAGCATGGATGCCCATTGTGATGTACTAGAAATGTTAGCTAGAGCAATAAGAAAAGAAAAAGAAATTGAAGGAATTAGAGGAAATGAGGAAACAAAAACTATCACTCTTTGTAGATGATATGATAGCATACTTAGAGCATCCTAAAGAATCGACTAAAAAGCTACTCAAAATAATGAACAACTTTAGCAAAGTTGCAGGATATAAAATAAACCCCTATAAATCACCAGCATTTCTTTATATCAGGATATTCTATATATTAACAAAGTCCAGGAGCAAGAAATAGAGAAAATCCTTTTAAAATAACTGTAGGCAATATAATTATTCCCATTTTACAATTGAGGAAATTGAGGCAGACAGCCTCAATGACTTGTCCAGGTCTCATAATTAGTAATGTCTGAGGCTGAATTTGAATTCAGGTCTTCCTGACTCCACTCCTAACACTCTAACCACTGTGCCACCTAGCTGCCTCAGAGAGATACTTTATAATAGCAATGAAAAGATAACCTCAGATTCACCATTTGACAAGATGGGGTACAGCTGGGGGTGCATCTAGTCTGTTTGAATGAGTTGTCCTTTCTTAGATTTTCTAAGATTATGTTATTCTCCTATAGAGGACTGGGCTTGAGGTAAGGAAGACTTGGGTCCAAGTCTTGCCTCTGACACATACTGTGCGACCATGGAGAAACTAATTAACCTCTTAGTGTTCCAAGCAATGCTCTTGAATTGCACAGGAGTTACTGATCTTCATGGTAAAGGGAGTTTTCACACCAAAAGTTTCTAATGCCAATAAAATCAGGGATCTGGACCCCTAAAGGGTGGATACTGTCTTCATTCCTCTCATATCCTTCTTTGCACTTAGAACAATATTGGCCCTTAAAAGACGCTCAACAAATACTCTCTGGTTTAGTAACTGGTTATGTTCCTTCTTTATTTTCTCAGGCGAAAACACCACAAATTCTCTCTGAAGAGCAGCTGAAGATTCTTCTAGAAGAATGCCTTTTAGAACAAAGAGCGGAAAAGGAGAACAGAAATGCTGATGGATTACAGGCTGAATCTATCCAGCCTTCCATATCCTTCATCTCTCAGTTGCTAAATATGTCACCAGATCTCAGCAGTCCTGAGGTTGAGAATGAAGATGTCCTTGAAAACAGAGAATGTGAAACACCTGGCTATTATCTTACCAAAACATTGGGTGGCCAACATCATATAGCAGAATTTTTGGTCACTGAGACAAAGGAAGAGGAGAGACCCAGGTCTACAGGGGATGTAGCTTCTAGTGACGTAGAAGGTTACTTTATGTCAAAAACCCTTGGCATTGGAAGGCTGAAGAGGCCTTCTTTCTTGGATGATCCTTTATACTGCATCACTGTAGACAGCAGCCAATCATCTGAAGATGAGCATCTGAAATTGATTGATTGTCCTACTGAAAGTCCATCAAAGCCTGGTGAGTCATAGAGAACATGAGCCCTAGATAGACGATGGTTACAACCAAGTCAGTTCACCCCAAAGGTTTGCTCCAATCCACAGGTGAAGTGAGGAGCCACTTTTACAAATCCTTAAACTTTACCAAAATTCATTCTTCCAAACGTTTGCTCTTTTCCAAAGGTAAGATGAGGAGCCATTTTTGCAAATTCCTAAACCTTAGCAAAGTTCTTCAGTATTTCCATGATTTGCCATCTATATCCACTGGTATAGAGAACATCTTTTCATATGTGAGTTGGAGCTCCTCTGAGCTCCTGTCTAATTCCTACACTCTGATTCAACCTGTCCATTCTTTCTCACCCTTTGAGAATCTTGTGCAGATTCTCCTGTGTTGTCTGAATAGAGAATCTACCCAATGTCCTTTCTGTTTTGTTTTGTTTTGTTTTTTGTTTTAGGCAATTGGGGCTAAGTGACTTGGCCAGGGTCACACAGCTAGTTAGCCCAATGTCCTTTCTGATGCATCCCTTTTTCTTTTTATATTTTATCAGTATCACTGCAACACTTGGATTGATCCTTCTGTTACCTCTCACTCCCAAGACATAACCAGCCTACCTCCTCTTCTAGTAAGACATTTAATCAGTCAATCAATTGCCAAACATTTATTATGCCTCTGCTATATTCCAGGGAAGAGGAGGAATTTATATCTTATAAAGAAAAAAAAACAGGTACAAGTTTCATCCATACAATAATATATCTCCTCACTGATAGACCTTATAGCATTTCCTGAAAATAGGTCATCATTAGAAACATGTTGCAGCTTCCTTATACCCCTTGGGAATCTTTCCATTGACCTTTAGGTAACCCACAACTTTGATTCCATAGTTATATAAAATTTTTGTCCTGACATTACATTACATAGGATGAGTTTGGTAGTCAAGAGCTATATCAGTTTTAATCATAATTAATTTGAGTCAGCCTAAAAGAAAAAAAGTCAATTTTACGAGAGGGAGTTTGAAACCAGCTGACTATTTAGGAAATTAGATTTTCTCAGGCCTTTGACCTGTTTTTATTAATGAAAATTTTATCAAAGTGAGAATTTAGAAGAGTACTATGAAGTGACTAGACCATACATACTTACTATAAAATGACATCCACTGGGTTGCATTTTCATAGATTAACTACTCATTTATGCAAAATTCTCCTTGACCCTTCAATGGTCCACCCATAAAATATTAGAAAATTTGTAATGATCTAATGTGCTCTTTATTATATAGATACAGGTAGAAATACCACAGACACTTTTGATATAAGTGAAGGGTAAATTGTCTGTTTGATTTAAAAACATCTATGGTTTTGATGGTCACTCCAGGGCTGAAAGCTATCGCCTTTATGCTGTTATTAGAGAGTCTGTGGAGTCTATCTTCAGCCCTGACTTTTCTTCAATCCTGAGCTCTAGTTCCATATTTCCACTTACCTCTAGGACATTTCCACTTAGATGTCTGGCTTGCACCTCAGACCGACTATGTCTCAAACCAAACTCCTCCCCTCTTCCTCTAACCATGAACCAGCTCCTCTTCTTTCTCTGTTTCTATGAATAGCATGACCTAAGTTTGAAACCTTGTAATCTTCTACTCAAAGAAAGAGAGGATCCTGAAGATTATCTGTCTAACCCCACAGGTAATTATGACATGTTTTGGACTCTACCTGCAATTTCCTTGACACTTTTAATGAAGAAGCTTCTTCTATCAGTGCAGATGGGCACCTTCTCTATAATATATACTAGTGTTAGAGAGTTGCCCGGGGCATTGAGCACTTAAGTGACTTTGTCCTGGGTCACATAGTTGGTATGTGTCAGAGGCAGTGCTGAACTCAAGTTTTCCCACATCTAAGGCTGGTGGTCTTAGTCCAGCCTACGTGGCAGGGTTGCCCATTACCTTTTATTATACTTATTGGTGTGCTTAGCTTATCTCACCTACTAGACTGAAGCTCCTTGAGGACTTTCTAATTTAGCTTTGTATTCTGCCCCCCTGCCCATAGCTAGGTAACCAGCAGAGTGCCTTGTGCAAAACCAATGTTCAATTGTATCTGAATAATTTTGTTGTTGATTTGTTTCGGCCATGTCTGTGTCTGCGTCTGAGTACTCATGACCCCATTTGGGGTTTTCTTGGCAGAAATACTGGAGTAGTTTGCCATTTCCTTCTCCAGCTCATTTTATGGATAAGGAAACTGAGGCAGACAGGATTAAGAGACTTGCCCAGGGTCACACAGCTAGTCTGAGGCTGAATTTGAACTCAGGAAGATGAATCTTCCTGATTCCCCAGTACTCTAGCCACTGTACCACCTAGCTGCCCATGAGTGAATAATAGTTAGCATTTATATAACATTTTAAGATTTGCAAAGCATTTTACAAATATCACATCATTTGATCCTCACAACAGCCCTGGAAGGTAGGTGCTACTATTATCCCCATTTTACACATGGGGAAACTGAGGCAGATAGAGGTTTAAATGATTTGCCCAGTGCTACATAGCTTCTAAGTGTTTGAGGCTAAATTTGAACTCAGGCCTTCCTAGCTACAGGCTCAGTAGAATTCTATCCACCACACTACCTAGATACTTCTTGAATGAAGTTGATGCCCAATTTTATAATAATGTTCCAGAAATGCAACCTTCATTTATTCTCCACAATATGGATGGAAATAGAAGTGTTGGTATTGATGAAGAGTTATATAAAGTGCATAAAGTGACAGTTTACATGAAAAATATGGACTTTGTTATTTTTAAAATAGTTTGTAAGTTGTAAAGTATTTTTCCAGCTGCAGAGAGAGCATATAGTTTGCATTTCAACTGGAAGAGAAGAGGCTAATTTTCTTTTTTTCCTTCCTTCCTTCTTTCCTTCCTTCCTTCCTTTCTCATCTCTCTTTCTTTTTTTTTCATTCACTAAGTAAACTATAAAATGATTACTTCTAATGCTACACTAAAATTATTGCAAGACAAATAAAGACAAAACAAAACAAAACTGGTTGTAGAGACAGAGACTGTTTGAACTCCCACATTGCAGAAATTAATTAAGCTTACCAAATTGGACACACAGATCTGTCATACAGGTCATGTCAGTGGTGTCTGAGGTGTGTGTTTAGACACATTTTATGTGAATTTAGTTGTGTATAAATGGGTGTGTCTACTGAAATCCTACCATGATGCCTAATTGAAGAATGGGGTTCTCAAAGGGTATGCACCTAAAATGAAAGTCTTGACAAGTCTTACTAACTTGGAATAATTTCACACATGGACCATAGGATCCATTTAGAATGAAGAAGGACCTCAGAGATCCTAAGGTGCAGCCCCCTCATTTTACAGATGAAGAAACGGAACCTGAGGCCCAGCGAGGGTGTGTACCTTTGCCTAGGGTCAGGTGTTAAAGAACAGAGCTGAAATTTGAACTCAGGTCTTCTGACTCCAAATCCAGCTCTCATTCCTCAGTGCCGTGCTGCCTTGTTGGTGGATCACATGTCTGTCATCCCAGGATCAGCCTAACTGATTTCAGAGCAACTTATCTCTAAAAGGATAACCCCTGGTTGAATTATGAAGGCATTGAGAAAAATTGCCAAAATAATTTGACAGGGTTTCTAAACCTGAGGTCTAGGTTTCATAGATGCTATGAGGCCTATAAACTTGGATGGGAAAAAATTACATTTTTATTGTAATTTGTTTCCATTATAATCCTATATGATTTTATTTTATGCATTTAAAGACATTATTCTGAGAAGAGGTCCATAGGTTTCACCACACTGCCAAAGGGTATTGGGGGATGGAATGGGGTTAGTGACATTAAAAAAAGTAAAAATTCCTTGATCTGAGACCCGTGGTATGATTGCTACTTTTATTGGTGGAGAGAATACTCACTTTGGTGAAGCCATGAATTTTGGAAATTTTGAAGTAGATAAATGTGTGAGTTACACTGGTCTGTGTCCTCTAGGGAGAAGTTGGCAGGCTGAGCCAGAACTGTGTTCTCACAGTTGAATGATAATGAAAGAAGTTATTTAGTTTTACTTGGTAGAGCATTTATTTCAAAAGGTACTTCAGACCTCCTCACACCAGAAATATTCTTAATGAGTGGTCATTATAATCGTCCCTGGTATGTGTGGGGAATGATATAGTATAGATGTGGCTTAGGTACAGACTATATTTAATTTTCAGGTTTATTCCATCATAAGCATTGAATGAATAGTTCCTCAGTTATATCAGTCCTAATCCACAGCAAAGTAACTGAAATGGTTATTTTTCCTTTAAAAACAAACAAACAAATAAATGTTAGCAATGCCTCATGTCCTTTAGTGTCATTGTTGCAGCACAATTTATTTTTGATCACCTTTATTGAAGGTACCCAGTTTTGAATCAGAGTCTTGATACAAAAATATGCTCTACATAAAAATGTCTAACCAGTATTTTTGAGGGGACAAAGGTAATCCTAGGCCAGGTGTAGGCTAGCAGATTGCTTCAGTTGTGGAGTTCTGAGCTTTAGTGTACTAAGTCACTGGGGTGTTTGTGCTAAGTCTGGCATCAATATTGTGAGCTCCTGGTGGTGGGGGAGGGGAAGAGGGGCACCAGCCTGCCTAAGGAGGGATGAACCAGCATTAATTCCATGTTAATGAGAGACAATGAGGTCTAGCCCATGAGTGGACATTGCACTTTCAGCCTTGGTAAGAAAGGGAGGCCCAGTTATTTATTTCCCAGCTCCATGAAATTGGTAGTGCAAATATTATTATCTTCATTTTATAGGTGAAGAAATTGAGGCCTGAGGCTCTTCCATATTAGAGGCAATGTGTCCTAAAGGTTAGAGAATTGACTTTGAAATATGGAAGACCTGAGTTCAAGTCTGTCTTACACAAGTATTGGCTATTTGACACTGAGCAAGTCAATTAAGCTGGAGGTTCTCTAAGCAAAGGTATCAAACATGTGCCCTAGGTCAGATTAAAATTTAATTGGGGAATATTTAACAAAATAAATAAAAATACAATGG